AAGATGTGGTCAATCTGATTGGAAAACAGATTATTCATCGATCAGAAAGAGTACAATCAGGTCGCTGGGACCCTCAAACCATAAGGCCTAAGAAATACTTAAAATAACTTTCATCGCTTTCACCATTTCCTCAAACCATAAGCCTAAGAAATACTTAAAATAATTTTCATCACTTTCACTGTTTCCTACTAACACTGGTTACATAAGAGTATGACACTCAATTCACAGGGTCATGTGAAAGTTAAAGTTAACTTCATATTCTAAACTTCCAAAAAGAAAAGGCCACTCTTTGCCATTGTGGCTTTAGAATGTATTATACCGAGGGGGGCCACTGCCAAATTTTAAGTTAAGAGGAACAATTAACTTGGCCTGAATCACTTGGCATTTCTTCCCCCTTCCCTTAGCCATTTGTGTGGATTAGGAATCAACACTGTTTCTACATTTGAACAGAGAGCACAGTACCTGGCTGAGTGCCTCGATTCACTGAAGATACAAAAGTCATCACCATCATCCCAAACTCTGCTGGAGGCCTTTCTGTTGCCACCGCTGCCACCACCACCGCTGCCACCGCTGCCACCCCCATGAGATTTGCTGGTGTGACTCCTGCCTCCTCTTCCTCCTCTAGAAGACCCTTTTCCACTTCCTTTGCCTGGCTTGCCTTTTCTTCTTACTGAAGAGCTCATTTTCACCTGTAAGAGAAAAAAGGATGACAGGCATCATAAAGCCAGACGAGCATAATCATTTGTTGTTTTCAATGTTATGGATACAGCCTATTTTAAAGAAATAAAGGAAAAAGGCACATTTTAAAAGGGCCAGTTTAAGGAAAGAATGGATACATTGCTTCACAAAATATTTATAAGCATGTTCCTGTAAGGACTGATATTTAGTGAGTTTCTCTGACGCAGATTTCTTAACCAGAGATGTGCATCAGAAATGCATGGAGAAGTTTCACAACAAGAACCTAGGCCCCAACCCTATATTTTGATTTGGTCAGATGTGCTGTAGAGTTTAAAAAGTTTTAATTGAGTAGAAATGTTTTCATTTACTGAGTATGTGATTTGATACACAAACTTTAAATTTGCACATACACTTCTGGACACAGCCCTGGCTCAGAGATTATGCCTGTGGGGAGTAAAAGTGTGGAGCTATTGCATGCAGTCCAGGTTAAATTGTTACCAGTTTACAATAAAATGCTGTAAGGTTTTTTAGGTAAGCCTCAAGGAAACTCCAAAGCAAATATAGTTGATACACAAAAAATAAAGAGAAAGGAATAAAAGCATACCACTACAGAAAAACATCAAATCACAAAAGACAGAAAGAGAGAAAGAAAAGAACAATGGATCTATAAAACACAGAGGAAACAATAAAATGGCAAGAGTAAGTCCTACCCATCAATAGTTACTTCAAATGTAAAGAAACTAAATTCTTCAGTCAAAAGACAGTGAGTGGCTGAATGGATGAAAAAACAAGAACCAACTATACGCTGCCTACAACAGAATTGCCTCGGCTTTAACACACACAGAATGAAAGTGAAGGGATGGAAAAAGATATTAAACTTGGTGAATGGAAACCAGAAGAGAGCAGGGATACTGTACTTATATCAGACAAAATAAACTTTAAAGTCAGAATACCTACGAATGAATTTAACCAAGGAGGTGAAAGACTTATGCATTGAAAACTGTAAGATGTTAAAAAAAGGAACTGAAGAAGATATACAGAAATGAAAAGATAGTCTGTCCTCATGGATTAGAACAATTAATAGTGTTAAAATGTACATACTATTCAATGCAATCCACAGATTCAATGCAATCTCTATAAAATACCAATGGCATTTTCCTCAGAAATAGAACAACCAATTTGTATATTTGTATGACCATTTCCTAAAATTTGTATGAAACCACAAAAGACCCCTAATAGCCAAAGCAATCTTGACAAAGAAGAACAAAGCTGGAAGCAGCATACGTCCTGATTTCAAACTATATTACAAAGCTATAGTAATCAAAACACTATGGTATTGGCATAAAAATAGATATATAAATAAACGGAACAGAATAGAAAGCCCAGATATATACGTTTAGTCAATTAATTTATAACAAAGGAGCCAAGAACATATATAGGGAAAGGACACTCTCTTCAATAAATGGTGCTGGGAAAACTGGACAGTCACATGAAAAAGAATGAAATTAGACTACTGTCTTATACCATAAACAAAAATGTACTTAAAGTGGATTAAAGATTTAAATGTAAGACTGGAAACCACAAAACTCCTGGAAGAGCCCTGGCTGGTGTGGCTCAGTGGATTGAGCACCAGCCTGTGAACCAAAGAGTCACCAGTTCAATTCCCAGTCAGGGCACATGCCTGGGTTGTGGGCCAGGTCCCCAGTAGGAGACATGCAAGAGGCAACCACACAATGATGTATCTCTCCCTCTGTTCCTCCCTTCCCCTCGGTCTAAAAATAAAATAATTTTTTTTCAAAAATAAATAAAGTAAAATAAAAAGATTGTGGATATATTTTTTAAAAACTCTCCTGGAAGAAAACATAGGTGGTAAGCTCTCTGACAGTGGCCTGATAAATTGTAGTGCTATGTGCTCAGAATAGGGATACAGGGGAGAAAAAGATTTGGGGGAAGAAAGTCACAGGTTCAGACTGCATATGTTACATTTGAGATGCCTTAGATACTGTAATGGAGATATGTATAAGGTAATTGTATATATGAGTCTTTGATGAGGGGAAAGGTGAGATTTCTAAATCCTCTAAAAAATATTGTAAGGGAAATATTACTTCCTATTTTACAGAAGAGCAGACTTGTCTAATGTCATCCACGACAGAAACAAATTCTGGAGCCAGGGTTTGAAATAATCTAGACCCTGAGTCCAAAGCTGAAATTCTTTCCACTGTATCACCTCTTTACCACACACACATATTTCAAAGGCTTCTGAATCGCTTTTGATAAGCTTGCCCCTGTGAGTTTGTGCCTGGGTCTTAATTTATAAAGGAAACTGAGTGAAAATGCTATTGAAAGAAAAGTTTAGTGTTAGTCCCCTAGAAAGGAGACACGTGTCCTGTCACCAGGGGGAAAGCACTAGTGAGGAGGCAGAGAGGAGCCAGAAGGCGCAGGCCCACAGCCTTTCTGGGGGTTCCATGGGCAGGGCAGGGCAGGGTAAACAGTTTGGAGGTGGCTAGTTTGACTAATTGCAGCAGACTTTGGGGCACAGGGGCTGTTCCTACTTGCCTGGTACCTGGCCCTGGGTTGATTTCGGGTCAGGGGAAACTAGGAGGTGGTTGGGGCTATGGACTCCAGACTGGTTGGTGTGCACATGAAGGGCATGTTCACGGGTCAGTTGATAATGAGCTATCCTTATAAAGGGCAGTTTTTTCCTGACCAGCTAGGCTCTTGATGCGTCAAAACATGATAAAAATGAAAAATAAAAAATATTAATAATCTAATGTAAATTTTAAACCATATCATTACCAATTTCCTGACTCTAGAGCATCTTCTAGATAAGAACATCGTAAGAAAGAAGTGTGCCTCAAGTTTTTCTGTAGAAACAATAGTAAATATACATACACTCACAAAAATGTAGGGTTATCAAAAGCTTAGCAGGAGATCAGAACAATGGAACAAATTGAATTCTGTAAAGTTGCACATTAATAATTATCTATCATTTCTAAAGTTTAGAAAAAGGGGAGGGATATACAAATCAGAGGGAAAGATTAAAACGTCATTTCAAAAACCATCCAGCCAGGTAATTTGTGCAGTAAGAAGCACTGGGGGGGGGGGGGCAAGAAGATACTGTGATTTTATTTAAAAAGAGAAGAATGACTAGCCAGCCACACCAAGCCACAGCAAGCTTGCCTGAAGAGCGATCAACTACTCGCCTCACACGAACCCAGAAAGTGTTACCTTTACAACTTGATCTGAGATCTGCTCTCAAATTCTGGGTGAAGACTTGCTGTCTGCAGCCAACATGTCTCTCCCCATACGTGTTTCGGGGATCAGGAATTCGGTTGTATAATCCACATTGATGGACGCCACTATTCAATCCCATTTAGCCTGGGAAGATTCCAGTCATTTCTTTTCACCGTGGACACAGGGACCTAAGTTTGGCTCGAAGAATATCCTTTGTTTCACACCCAAGTCTGGTTCCCAGGAACAGAATCACTAAGCGGGGCGATCAACACTGACACACACCACTCGCCTTCCAGGCAAATCTCTGACTGACTCCATATTTCAGCTTCAGCACATACCCACACCTAGGACCTTTCTTAGAGCAAGAATCATCCCCATTCCTCTCTCCCACAGAGCCTTTCGGTTCAAGAAGGAGAAGACAGGAAATGAAACCCGAGCCTCTCCAATCCAACCCTTTACCCCGCTAGGAGCCCGAGTTTAGCTCCCTCGCCTCCGGCATTAGGCTGGTGGGCCACCTCAGCTGTCGACCCCCGCCCGGCCCGTTCCCAGGATCTGAAATTCTGCGGGTCCAGACTCACCAGCCCCAATCAAACAGGCTGGATCCCATCAGACCCCGGCAGAGGGAGGCGGTGTAAGGATCTGCACACTGTCCACCGGGACGACGCAAAGACCACGCACACGGACACCCACCCCTTGTCCGCGGAGAGGGAGACGGTACAGGGCTCGCAGTGATGCTTCCCTGGGCGGCTGTCAGTAGCGAGAGCTCACGGCTGTAGGGGTCCCGCCGGAATTCGCCACCCTCACGGATCTCACCCGGAGCTGCTCGGCCTTGGTCCGGCAGCGGCCGCACAGCTCTGGCGCCTTCTGATTGGCTCAGTCTTGGCCCCTCACATTTTAATTTCCGGGTGAAAGGTGCCCGGTTGCCCCAGCAACCGAGTCGCGTTCTGCTCATATCTAGCTTTTGGTTCCCTCTTCGCCGCAGAGCTGGCTACTCCGGAGGAATCCCAGAGTCAAGAAAATCTCTCCAAGACCTCTCTGTCAAGTGAGTGCCCCTCCTCCCAATGTCCCGAGTGGGGAAGGGCGCCTTTAAATAGAACTCGTTGATGCAGAGCTCGGTTCCTGGTAACTCCTTTGCCGGAGTGACATACTTCCTGAAGGTCTACACGGGGAAAGGGGTGGGGGGCGAGGAGAGCCCCTGGCCTGAAGATCAGGAGATCGGGATTCTATCTCTGATTCGGCTGCTGATTTGCTGTTGTGACAATTTAGGCAAGTGCCGACCTCTCTAGGTTTCAGTTTCCTCTGTGCAGCCAGATGATCTCGGTCTGTTAGGTTCGTTCCTTCTAGCTCTAACATTCCAAACCTTGGAATATCGAGCCATTTAAGAGCAATTGAAAACCATTCGGTTTCTTGTATGACCAAGCAATTGAAAACCATTCAGTTTCTTGTATGACCAACCGGATTTCTTTCCGAGTGCCATTCATTCACTAGACATTCAGTTCCTGCTGGACTCTAGGGTGAGGACTAACCTGTGATCCCTGACCTAGACGAGTTGGGTACCATGATAGGAGATTGCGGGTTTTTTAAAATTTTATTTTGTGTTGTTTTTAATAGGGCCCTATGTGCTATGGTAGGGATAGGCCAGAGTATTGTGGGGGCTCCTAGAGAAGTTTAGTGGGGAGGGGAGTTCTGAAAAGCTTTGCTTAGGTGATACCTGTTTTTCTTCGTGCCTCTTTCTGGGAAAGATTTTCAACCTTGTATTCCAGTTCACTAATTTACTTTCGAATCATATCTTTGCTATTCAACCCCTCTAAGGAGTTTTATTTGATCAGTTATATATTTCCTAGACTTCTCATTTGTTGTTTCATAACTACCTGTTCCTGTCTCCCCGAGGATGTATTTTAAAGTCTTCTAGGTACCGTGCTGTTAACTATTTCCTCAGAAGAGATGGGCCTGTAGCTTTTCTCACCTGGCACTTAAATTAATTTTCAAATTAAAATAGTCAGTTCTCTTGCCTCACGCATAGATATTCTGATTCAGTAGTGTAGGGTAGAGCCTAGGAATTAGCAAGCATCCCAGGTGATTCTGATGCATGGGCCACACTTTGAGTAGCATTCTAGTAGACAGTAAACTTAGTGTTTGTCTTTTCAACTTAATATTTTCTTCAGTATTGGAAAAACGTAGTGTTTTAGTTCACTAAAAGTTCCAGTGCTCTGAGGCATAGGTTCACCCCAGTCCTTGGTTACTTTCTTCCTTTTTCACCCCGTCTCCATTCCGAGCTAATTCTGTTTGGACACCTCCACTCTCACTCCTCTTCATGTACTATCTTTATTTTCTATTTTTCTCCTGCCATATCAGAGATTCCTTACCCTACTTTACCTCTGAGACAGTCAATACATCACATAGGCTACCCAAGAGAAATAAGAACACACGTCCATATAAAAATTTATATGAATGTCCATTGCAGTATTATTTATAGTAGCCAAAACTGGAAACTCAGCTGTCCCTCAACTAAAGAATGATAAACAATGTGTCATTTCTGTACAATGGACAATTATTTATCAATACATGGATGAACCTTATAAATATACTAAGTAAAAGAAGCCAATCACAAAGGACTACATATTGTATGATTTCATACATATGAAATGTCCAGAATATGCAAATTCATAGAGACAGAAAGTAGATTAGCGGTTGCCAGGGGCTGGGGCTGTGGTGGAGTGGGCATGGGGGAATTAAGGGAATGGAGGATACCTGCGAATGGGTACATGATTCCTTTTTTGGGTGATTAAAATATCTTAAAATTAGACTGTAGTGATAGTTACACAAAATGAATAATCTAGACAGAATTATTTATTTCCCCAGAACCCTGCACTAGATAATAGAATGTCAAGTAAGCATGATATGCTTGTGATCATACGAAGTGAGTCTATTTGGTTTGCTCTTAAAGCATATTTGTTATAGGTATTATGACATAAAAATATTTAAGTTTATGTGACTTTTCCTAAATCTTTTAAAACAGCTCCAGAAGTATATAAGATAAACTTTATTTTTCCAAATGGAGACAAGTATGGTAAGCATACATTTCAATTACATTTTCTATAGAGGCTAAAATTAAGTAGCTTAAGAGTAAAAAAACGGACTGTAACATTTCATAAAACAACTACTGGGATATTAACTCCATTAAATAAAATAATATAGGTGAACAGATTTAAAACCTATTCTCATGTTAAGTCTAGGCAGTGTGCCCTGGTAACTTACGGGATCTGTCAGTCTTCCTGGGTCTCAGTGATTACAGATCTTCTAATTCTTCATCTCTGGTCTCCTTGGTGTCAGTGCTAGGGATCCAGAGAGACCCACATGTGTAGTTGTGATTAGGCCTGAATGTAAATACTTTATTACTTAGTCACACCGGGTTCCCATCTGTCATCTTCAGTATGTCTCTCTTGTTTAGATGGTGATTGTACAAGAACACCTTCTGGAATCTTCGAGAGAAATGGAATAGGTATTCATACCACTCCAAATGGGATTGTCTACACAGGAAGCTGGAAAGATGACAAGGTATTTTGTTTTGAATACTGACAGTGAATAAGTAAACCTATTAATAAATGATTCCAGGAATTTCTCCATTAATCAAAAACACATATGAGAAGACTATACAACAGAAAACCAAATGATTATATTTAATACAATATATATGAACATATGAGTAATATTAAACTTATGCAGAGAACTAGTCATTATCATCTTTCTCATCTCCTATTCATTGGGTAAACCTAAATTCATTATACAGTTTTCTTATTTAATCCTGAAAGCAACTTCATGAGGTAGATACTATTAATACTCCTATTTTACAAATGAGGTAAATCAGGCTTAGGTTTTTCTCCTTAGCTAGTAAGTGATGAAACAAGAATGTGTACCTGGGTCTGCTTGAATACAATTTTTTTAAGGTTTTGTTTATTTATTTTTTGAGAGACAGGAAGGGAGGGACAGAGAAAGAAGAGAAACATTGATGTGTGAGAGAAACATCGATCAGTCGCCTCTCACACACTCCAAACCCAGGGCCTGGCCTGCAGCCCAGACATGTGCCCTGACCAGGAATCAAACCAGCAACCTTTCAGTTGCAGTTTGTGGGAGGAGGACCAACTACCCCACTGAGCCACACCAGTCAAGGCTGAATTCAATTTTTGTTCTTGACAACTGTGTACTGTTTCCTGGGCTAACTAAACTGGTTGCCCTTTAAGATTTCTGATAATTCAAGGTATCTCAAGGACCCCTGTTATCATCATCATGGCCTTTAAAACATGATGTTCAAGTGCCCTGGATGGTCAAATGCCCCAGGTCAGGTTGGGGCTTCACAGAGAGATGCATATAAAGGAAAATTATTAAGATGTCTTACTTTTTTATGGAAACAAAGAGTAATACAATGATAAATTAAATAACACCTAAGTGGATGATAGACGTGTACATTTTCAAAGTGTTCTAGGGAAATAGTTACTGAGCTCATTTCCTTTCTTGTGAACAGATGAATGGTTTTGGAAGACTGCAACATTTTTCAGGAGCAGCTTATGAAGGCCACTTTAAGGACAACATGTTTCATGGCTTGGGGACATACACATTCCCAAATGGGGCAAAGTACACTGGAAATTTCAATGAAAACAGGTAAGCGTAACATAAAAGTCACTGTAGTTCTTTGTAAAAGATTCTTTTCAGGCATGTTTGGTTAAATATTATATTTAGTTAATGCTAAACACTCTTTTGTAATAGATTTTTTAAAATACAATCTATTTAGGAAGTAATGTTGGGTTATTTTGGGGGGAGAAAAGAATGTCACAAGATACTAAGACTGTCATGAGCCTTCAAAAGAAAATACCGTTCATGGTGATAATCTGTTAAGACTTTTATTTCCTCTTGAACTCTTCTGTTCCCATAACATTTTTGGCAGTTAGCTTGGAAATGGAAAGCTTATTGCAATTATTAAGAAAATTTAAGCCAAAAATTACTTTCACTTGAAATATCTTGTTAAGTTTTTAAAAAGCAGCCTTGGGAATAATGTCATAATTGTATATTTTATTGTGACCTGATATTTGTATACATTTTTATTAAGCTAATTTTTAAAATGTATACCAAATTAGTTAATTTCAAATTGTAGAAAGGTACCCACTTTACCAACTTAATCTTTTATTTTTATTTTATTAAAAATTTTTTTAATTTATTGATTTTTGGAGAGAGAAAGATATCAATTTGTTTTTTCACTTATTTATGCATTCATTGGTTAATTCTTTTATGTGCCCTGACTGGGGATTAAACCCACAAACTTGGGGTTTTGAGATGCTGCTCTAACCAATGGAGCCACCTGGCCAGGGCTACAAGCTTAATGTTTATACCAAATATTATGCCACATCATCCAGAGGTTCATGTTCATTTAAAAATAACTATTATTTCCAGAATTTAAAATGGCAACTTAATTGTTATGAAATGATTGATGTGAATACATTTTGAGGAGGGCAGAGGGTTGTCCACTTATATTGACTCCAAGTCTGTGATGTTAACACATGAACTTTTTCCAGTTATGTTAATAAGGGGAGAGAAATCTAACCTGTGGAATAAAGGTCTGTTTGGTTAAGTGAAGTGCATTTTTATCATTCCAAAGAGTCCAAGGAGACATCAGCACAGAACACAGTACCGTGAACATAGTTGATGGTCAATACATATTTGTTTTATAAATAAATGGCCTAATATAAACTTTTCATTTTTAAACCATTTGAGTTTTGTGTAAACCTAACTTACGTGACCGTAAAATCTTGGACACCAGAATTTATACGACAGTGGTTATTTGAAACACTAATATTAATAGTTTGGTTTCTTTATAGGATATGAAAACAGGGTGCTGGGTTTGAAATCAAAGTCTGAAGATGGGAAGCTGTAATTTTCCAGACAATAGTATATAATACGTCACTAAGCAGACAGCCTAATATTTGGGTTGTAAATTCTTGGTCCTGGTTAGCGAACAAACATTTCTCCCTGTTGCAGGGTGGAAGGCGAAGGACAGTATACCGACACCCAAGGGCTGGAATGGTGCGGCAGCTTTCATTTCACGGCGGCCCCGGGCCTGAGACTGAAGCTCCACATGTAGATGTTCTGCATTCAGGTGTCCATGTGGTGACTGAAGCTTTTCGTTGTGAGGAAAACAGCTATGTCATCTGAAATAGCCCCCTACACCACCTCTCTATTATAAGTTTGCCAATAAAGCCATCATTCGCTTATGCCTTTTTGAACTTTATTTTCGTCATCTTATAATTAGTTTAAAATAAAATGTGATTCAGTTGAGAGTGTGCTTATTTTAGCAGCAAAACTATCCAAATTATGGCAAAGTCCATTTCCAATCCTGTGCCTGACTTTTGTCATTTTTAAAAAGTATATGTGTTAAAGGAAACTATCGAGAAAATAAAAAGATGGCCCTGGCCACTAGCTCTGCTGGTAAGAGAGCCATCCTGATACACAAAGGTTGTGGGTTTGATTCCTAGTCAGGGCATATGCAAGAACCAGCCAATGAATGCATGAGTGAGTGGAAAACAAATTCATCTTTCTCTTTCTCTCAAAATCAATTTAAAAAAAATGAAAAGATAATCCACAGAATGGGAGAAAATATTTGGAGATCACATATCTGATAAAGGTTTCCAGAATACATAAATGACTCATGTAAATGTATATAAATAAAAGACAACCCAATTAATAAACAGGCAAGGGATTTGAATAGACATTTCATCAAAGAAAAAAGTAATGCTTAGTAAGCAAATGAAAAGATGTTCAATATCATTACTCTTGAGAGAAATGTGAATTTAGCCCACAGTGAGATACCACTTCACAATCACTAGGATAGCTCTAGTTAAAACGACAGATAAAGTTTGGCAAGGATGTAGAGAAATTAGAAACCTCAAACATTTCTGGTAGGAATGTAAAATGGTATAGCTGCCATGGAAAACAGTTTAGCAAAAAGTTAGACATCACCCTGGCTGGTATAGCTCAGTGGATTGAGTGTGGGCCTACAAACCAAACAACCGCGGTTTGATTCCCAGTCAGGGCACGTGCTTGGGTTGCAGGCAAGTTCCCAGCAGGGAATGCACAAGAGGCAACCATACATTGATATTTCTATCCCTCTCTCCTTCCATTCCCCTCTAAAAATAGATAAATAAAATCTTAAAAAAAAAAAGACATGTAGTTACCATACGGCCCAGCAGTTTCTAAGTACATACCCAAGAGAAATGACTTGTACAGGAATATCCACAGCAGCATTATTCATAACAGCCCAGTACTGGAGACACCCAAATGTTCATCATCTAATAAATGGAAACACAAAGATGGTAGATGCATGCAATGGAATTTTATCCAGCTCCCAAAAGGATGAGGTTCTGGTACATGCTACAACATGAACCTTGAAAACATTGTACTAAGTGAAAGACCCAGTCACAAAGGGTACATGATGCATGGCCGTTGTGTGAAATGTCCAGTAGATTGGTGGCTGCCAGGGGAGGGGGTATTGGGAGGCATGGGGTTTCTTTTTTGAGTGATGAGAGCTGCTCTAGAATTAGTGGTGAGGGTGACATGACCTTCTGAATACTAAAAACCACTGAAGTGTTCATGTTAAAAGGGCAAGCTTTGCATATGGTATGTGAATCACATCTCAATTTTCTCGAAACTAGATCTTTGTGTCTTCACCTATTCTATGGCTAGAAAGCTTCTTTACCTTCTACATTAAATGTTTTCAATTACCAGGACAGTGCATGGCACCTACACATTAAAAACTACCATTAAGATCTGAGTGTTTTTGCTGAATCTATTATTCTAAAACTGACAAAAAATGGTGCATGCATTAGATAACCTCTATATCATATTTCTTTATTCAAAATCTTATTAAAATTTGTACTTCTCAATATATCATTGCCAAAATATTATTTAATTTTTTGTTGTATTATAAATCTGTGTTGAAATGTATTTTAAAATATTAAAATGAAAATGGTACTTTTGTTAGTTTTTATAACAATAGCTTTGTATTTAATTTCAAAAGACCCTACTTTTAAGTGTTCAAAGATACAGTTTAAAAATTTGACATTTTTTAATTTGTTGCTTAGTGTTAACTGGTATTCTTTTAGAATTAAATATTATTGTACTGGAATTTATAAGGACAAATACTGGACAGAGGAAGATTAGGTGAGAGGATGTTTTCAGGAGCAAGACATATAATACAAATTCAAAACTTCTGAAAAATACAAAACATCTGCTTTACTGCAAACTAAATTTCCCCCAACATTTTTTGAATTATTTAAAGTAGCAAGATACATACTTTGCTTTTAAAATCTTTAACTTTATTGACAATTAAATAACTTTTCAATGCTCAAATTTCCAGTTTTCTAAGATATCAAAGTGATCCCTCTTAAACAGCTTCTTCCTTTTACTCCTTGAAACTAAACACAGTTCAGTTATTTGATTAGTTGATGCTAGAATTTGACCTGGAGCTTATATAATTAGAAGAGACACTAGTTTTCCTCATTTAAAAGCCTAGTTAGCATATGACAGTCGTTTCCGGGGAAGTCAAACCTCTCTTCTGCTTCTTTTTATAACCTTTAAGTTAATTCAGAATCCAGCTAAGCCTTGATCCAAGGGTGATCCAACCACAGCAAGCACCATGGGGTAAGTGTGTGCTTTTATGTGTTTTGAGAGGCATTGAGAAGGGAAATGTTTTGTTAAGAGAAGAAAGTCCATCAATCCTTATTAATTTTGATTCCAAATATGCTAACATCAATTTAAGTTAGCCATTGAAAGAAATAACTTTTTATTCAAAAGTTACAGCAATTTGTAAAACATTCATTTTCTTGCTGAGTTTGAAAATTATGTCATAATTTGCCTTTATAGGTTGTCTACTAATTAAATGTTTGGGGACTGAAGAGTTCTGCATATTACATATTTAACTGAAGCTGCATTAAATTCTGACAGCAATCTTAAAGAGTGATGGGTTTTTTATTTACAAAGCAAATAAATCCATTGTTCCTTTAGCATTAAGAATAACAAATGATAAAGATTAGGAATGCAGGGAGGTTGATTTGTGCCTTTTGTAACACAGAAAGGGATAAAAGAGCTCACTCTATATTCAGAAAAATGTGTGCTAATTAATTAACAGGGACATTAGTGAATCTTAATTCTAAACCCTGTGCAGGGTTTTGGGAACAGGATGAGAAGAACTAGGTTCACCTGAAAGGCTTCTATTCTTCAGTTAAAAGAGAGTAGCATTCCATTATAATTAGAACTGGAATGATATGTGTTTTATATGATGAAACAATAGTATTCTGAAAATATAGACATTTGTTTTTTTATTACCTTTTTGTCTTTTTAAATAGTACAAAATTATATTGCTGCAAATGATATAGTCATTTCATTGAAGGCACTTCTGAAGGATTTAACAGAAATGGATCAGAAATTTATACTAGAGAAGGAACTTTTTGACACACATTTATTCTAAAGTTTTCATGAATTTAATTAACATCTACATTTTTGTTAATACTGTGGGCTCTGAAAATGCAATCTAAAAAATGTAATCTAATGCAATCTCAGGCTTTTGAAAGGAAAACGATCATACTATTGTTAACTTTTAATACAAATATAAACGTTAATAGATAAGTGCCTTGTACCAACTTCACATACATTTGTCTCTCCCCCTCCCTCTCTTCTTTTTTCTTTAATGGTAGAAGTTCTTAACCTTTTTGAGGTCAAGGATCACTTTAAGAATCTTTGGGCACCAGCCAACCTCCTTTACCAAAAAATTAAAATCACACAAAATTTTCCATACAATTTCAGGGGATTTACAGATGGTCTGAATCTTATCTGTGGACCCCAGGTTAAGAACCTTTGATTCTGAATTTTAGGACTGGTGTATGAGTTGCTGAATATTTTTCTATGTTTCTGGAGATTTACAAAATGTAAACGTTTTTAGGTTCATAATTCCTGCTAATTTTCTCTCAGGGACAATGTTGAAAATGCAGATTCTCACACTGATCGATCACCTCTCCAAACACACACGCACACACACAATTAACTTGACAGTGAAACACAATTTACCAACAGCCATTGTTTGTACAGTCACATTACTGCTGCCTGTCCCTAGTGACATGATTAATTATTTGCGCTGTCGAGAGCACCAAGAATCACCTGGGGAGTCATAGAAGGAAAAAATGTTCATTATTTATTTGTAAGGTGCTTTCAGTACTCCAAATAAGACGAATTAAACCATAAATTGCCAGATAGTACACAAGACACTCTTTTAATTGGTAGGTTCATGGTTATTTTGTGTCTGCTCCTTCCCTTACTGAGAAAAAGGTAAGTATTAACACCCATTTAAGTTTTCCTAAAGTAATCAGAAAAATAGAGAAAGCTGTAGCTGACCAGATATTCAAATTTGTATATTTGAGGAACTCCATAGAATTTGTCCCCTGGATATGAGGAAGCAGCTACTTAGAATTTTTTTTAGGGGGAGTTGGGGTTACTTATCTCAAAGCTATTTGAGAATACAGTACCACTACATGGGTGTATACCAGTTCTTTCTATCTTTCTGCTGGCTATGCTGGCATGGTTTTAGTGAGAAACGAATAGGCAAATACTAGAAAATTCTTATGCATCCTAGAAAGCCTTTTCCTCATAAATTATCACTGGATTTCCTATGGAGTTTGTGGGTGGGTGAGGTGGGTATAGATATCGAATGAAGGTGGGTAAAGGGATAATTGGGCAAAAGTGGAAAAATCTTCCTTTTAAGCTGCCCAGACACCTGCTATTTACCATAATACCCGGAAAAAAAGATGAACAATGGAAATGAAGGGATGGTTGCATTTCTTTGCTAAGATACTTTTCAATACTCTTTCTCCGTCTCCTAGTACCTAATTCGGCACATTCCCAATTGGTATGGGGGGGAATGCTCTGCTAAAATTACAGAACCAATTAAGTTTATTGTTACAGCATGTTCAGCCTTTTCCAGTTTTCTAGTTCAAGTAAACATATAAAAATTAAAATAATTCTTTAATGGATATATTCCCTACTTCTGAATCTGAGAATTACAATCCAACTCTCTTTCCTGGGCAAAGCAGGCATGTAACTTCCTGGGCAAAGCGCTCATGCAGCAGCTTTTGAAATGCTGCTTCTCTCTGTGCTTTCCTTGCCTTCTTATCCTAATTCAGGTCACTGTTACCTTTCACTTGGAGTATTAAAGGTGCCCACTCAC